AAATACAATGTGGTACAGCATAAAAAAGATCATCATTCAATTTTATCACTATGTGATAAACGAATGTCCATTATGCTTACTTCACCTGTGCAAAATTATGTTGTAGTAAATTACAGACCCAGAGGAGTTCCTTATGAGCAGGCAAGACCATTTCATATCTATGATCAAGATTAATTGCGCTTCTTTACTTTTACTACATCTACAGTAAAATCTTTATCATCATAGATGATTCAGAGTCGGACCCAGATGAGGATGTAGACTCAGATGCTGTATCATTAAAAATTAACTTTTTTCTTTTAGCCTTACATAGTGTACTATTTTTTCGAGAAATATCTGGATTTGCTATCGAGTTTATAATTTCTTGCCAAATCTCGGGTTTTACTATCTTAAGTAATTGGCAGAGAGAAATCGAAATCATTCTACGTGATACTTGTTCAACGAATTTAGATATTATTTTCAGGGTACTATTGCCAGAGGCAACTGTTTCATAGCTATTTTTGACCATTGGATTTAAATTGATTTGTTATTAATATACGGAAAAATATAATTAAATATATTATCACATAAATAATCACAATGAAAATTTTATCTTGCAAAATTAACAAAGTACCTGTTACAGCTATATTAGATTCCGGTGCTAATTGTAATATTATAGGCAAGAGTGTAGCAAAAATAGTAGGCTTGAAAATTGATAATACATCTGGTACAGAGATATACAGTCCCATTAGCGAGCTCAATATATTGGGAATAATTCATGCAATGGAAATTTCGGTCCTGTCTCAAGATCGGAAATGGGAGCAAGTAAAAGTTACTGATGTTTTCGTTACCAATAAACCCGAACTTGAATCTGTACTGATATTGGGTCAGGCATGGTTCCAGGAAAATGCAATGAAAGTGGACTTCCTAAATAAAACTCTTACATTTCTTGATGGAACTAGTTATGAAGTTAAGTGTAATTGAGAATATCCAGAAATCCATAGTATATACTCCTAAAGTTAATTATCTAAGCATTGGTTATTTTTCGATTAAATATATACATTACTTAAGAATGACGCAACTATTATGGAGCAATGACCCAAAGGGTCTAAATATTTTTAATTTACCAGAATTACTAGAACAGATCTTATATTTTTTAGAAATCAATCAATCCCTCTATCCCGCTTTATTCGTCAACCACTTTTGGTATCACTGTGGTGCTCCTATTCTATGGTGTCGCATTGAGTTTTTTACAGAAAAAGATTATCAGAGAGGTCGGCATGGTCGTAAGATGCCTTGAGTTCTTACTTGGAAATTGATAAATTTTAAAAAAAGTCATGTGTGGAAAGATAAAGCCAATCTATTGCACCAAGATGATATATCTCAGATTGGAAGGTTTAAAAATCAAAGATGCATTGATTAGTACGATTCTATGCTCATGCCCAGATATACGCACTCTCATTCTTGATCGGAGTAATGGTTTCTCTAACATACCAATTATAGAAATTGCAAGATATTGCCCAAAGCTATTACATCTGAGTCTTAATTCATGTAAATGTCTTACTGATCGATGTATCACTGAAATTGCTTGCTCATGCCAAAACTTTAACATCTTGAGCTTGGTGATTGCTCGATTAATAATAAAGCTGTTGAGGAAATAGCCTGCAATTGTACTAATTTGAAATATCTTAGTTTGGAGGGATGTAAAGGGATTAGCAAAGAAGCGATGAAAAAACTTAATTCTAAAATTAGCATGAGCAAGCCTTTGGCTAAAATCAAACATCCAGATTATTCTGATGATGAATTCTCAGATTCTGATCTACCTCCACTTGTTCCAGATCCATTAAGGGTATCTCAAAGCGTTATCTTTACCGGTGGACCTAATAGAATGGTTTTAACTAATACAATAATTGTAACAGATCTTATTTCTGCAATTAGAGTATCATCAGCATTGACTGATTCATATCCGGATTTTGATGGACCTATCATTTACATTCTAAAATAATAGTATACAACTATTTAGTCGCATATAAAAATAATTTTAATGTTATCATAATAAGTGTTTCTTATCTGAAAATGCGTCTGTATGTATTGTTGTTGTATAAAAACGATTAAGCTTTTTTTTGACGTCATCCAGGAGATATTTTCTAGAATTTCCGGTGGTATTAAATGTATTCATATTCATAATTTATGTGCCTTGGCACTAGCTCCGCTATAATAAATATTGTATATTTTTTTTTTCTTGCAAGATATAATTTCCGTTCAAGATGCCATCAAAAAAATCTGACAAAGATGATTCGGCGAAGTCTTCCAAGAAAAAAACAGTTCCATCCCGCTTAGCTAAAGAAGATATCACTGCCATAGTATTTGCCGAGCAACTCAAAGCCGGGATAAAAAAAGTTAATGCCCATTACCATATAGGTTCTACAACGATCAAAAAAATATGGGCGTCATCCAATCCTTATGAACATGCCAACTCGATAGGGGAACCCAACTTGCCTGAATGGTATAATAAGAATGTTAAATTCAAGGAGTCTGAAACATCTCCCAATACCTCTCAAGAAATAGCCTTACCTGAGGAAACGAAGCTTCTCGTTAAAGGACCCAATATAGTTAAGCAAGATACCAGTGAAAAACGAAAAAAGAAAGAGGCTGAAATGGAGCGGATTGCAAAACGGATAATTAGATCAGAATTAGGTAGGATAATCCAAGCTGAAGACTGAATAAATTCCAGGGTTCTTCTCCATATTACAAATAATAATGCTTTGTAGCAAAGTATAATAATTATTTATGATTTGATTTCTAGATTTCCGATATATACTACTTCGAAATGCCACAACTTAACATTTTTAATTTGCCGGAATTATTAGAATTGATTCTACATTTTTTAGCAATTGACGAATCCCTCTATACCGCTTTGTTTGTTAACCGCTTTTGGTATAGATGTAGTGCACCACTTATATGGCGGAATATTGAGTTAAAAGGTAATGATTTACAGCATGGACATTATTTTCCAGATGACTATAATTATTGTAAAAAAGATCGAACACAATTGGAAAAGTTTTTAAATATAATATGTGGGGATAAAAAACCAATTTATCGGTCAAGCTTAACTCACCTCAAACTTACGCATTATCATTCACTTTCATATAAAAAAATCAAAGGTATCGTGAATTCATGTCCAAATATAATCCATTTAGATTTAGATTATACCGCAGGTTTTGGCTATAAAGCACTAATTATGGTAGCTAAATCATATCCGAATTTGAAATATCTTAATTTACGGAAGGCTGGATTAATAACCGATGAATCATTATGTGTAATTGCGAAGTTGTGCAATAAATTAGAGTATCTAAATATTTCTAATTGTGTGGAAATTACCAAAAAATCCTTGTTTGAAGTTGCAAGGTCGTGCCAGAATTTGGAAGAATTATACTTTGCCGAAGGAGATGGGATTACCGATAAATCTATAAGTTACATCATAAACCAATGCTCCAAATTACGATGTCTTGATATTGCATATAGTGGTGTTGAAATCGAAGATAGTAGTATGATGATACAAAAACGCCTCAATATAGAGTATCTCGATTTTGCTAATCTTATGGGTCCTCGAAATGATAATCTTATTTTAGCTATTATCAGATCTTCTCCGAATTTAAAACATTTTGATATAAGCGGTAATAATATAGGTGATGATGTTATTGAGGCGGTGGCACACACATGCCATAAATTGGAATATCTTGATCTTAGCAGATGTTATTTCATTACTAATTCATCAATTTGCAATGTTATTCGCTCTTGTCCTAAACTTCAGCATCTCGGTCTTGGTTCATGCAAAATTTCTAAAGCAACTATCAGAGAAATCGCCCATTCATGTCCTAATTTAAAATACCTTGATTTGGAGGGTGTTAAAAATATTAGTAAAAAAGCTATAAAACAACTTAACCTAAATATTCATATCGATAATTTCGACGAAGAAGATGAACCCCCTCCACTTATAAGAGGATTGATTCAACATGACGATTTAAATCCTCCGGATCATTTTATTACTGAATTTAATAATTATCTTAGACAGGTCGGTACGCCTATTCTTCCTCATTTTCACAATCGTGGGTTACAGATAATGGTGCTTCGTAGTAGAGACTAAGTAATTAATTCCGATTTGATTTTTTTCTCGGTCAAAGATATAGTGTATAATAATATAACCAAAATGTTGTTTGTAAATTGCGCAGTTGAAGAAAAACCTCCTATTGAAACATTAATTGATACAGGCGCTAACGCAGATTTAATTACCCAAAAATTTATTAACGAGTTGGGTTTAGTACATCATGTAAATAAAAGCAATAGCCTCGAATTACAAACTCCTGATGGATCATTTTCTATACTAGGAAAGGTTGAACTGCAAACTAGTTTTAATGTTGATGGGAAGCATAAAAGTACCGATCCCGTTGAATTCTTGGTTGTTGGACCAGATTGGCCTGGGCCTGATTTAATGTTAGGAAAACCATGGTTGCAAAAAAATGGCGCAACGATTGATATGTGTAATAACAAACTTTCTATACATGATAATTATGCAATCCCAATTTTCCAAAGCGGGTAATCGACATTCTACTAAAAATATCTATAATATATTTGTCCAATTACACTACGTAGAATACAATTATTATGTGATCACCAGATCTTCTCTTGTTTTTACGAGTAAATAAGTGGTATGTACTGTTGTTGTATAAAAACGATTAAGCTTATTTTTTGACATCGAATGAGGGCCTGTGCGTCGTATGAGATGTGCCAAAGTTTTCGATTTTACCTATCAGATAAATTCACAA